CCACCAGGCTGGATGTGTTTTTGCATGCTGTGGCTTTCCTGCCAGCACATGGCCTGCTGGGCTTTCCTGCCCTACTCCACAAAGTGGTACACATAATCAGCATTGGAGATGGAAAGAATAAATAGGCTTTTAACACTGGCAATCAGAAAGAGGGGAAGAAATGTTGCAGAAAACATCATTAGGTAGCAATGTTCTCTTTTCTGATAAAATAGATTATTGCCTATGGTGAAGCAAAGAAAAAGTACTTCAATGGATTCTACTTTTTAAATACTCCTTAATGAAAACTGCTGGGAATTGCCATTTTCCTCTCTCCAACCTGATATTTTTTTCTGTCCTTCTTTCGAAATGTAAGGTAATGCAAAGTTCAGTTAACTCATTACGAGTCAGATCACATATGTCTTTGACAAACTACCAACATAGCGAATGTCTTATTTTTAAAAGGTGGGAAAAGATCCTTATAGGTTTTAAACTCTAGAAGGAATTTAATGTTGCACAAACATAATTAAACTAGCTGATGTTTACCCAACATTTACCTTTATGGTGTTTGTTGCTGATTACTCCACTAAGGTATTTTGGTGTAAACAGAACCTCCCTAATTAAATAGCTTGCCTCTGACACATTCAGTTTTCCAGCACCACAGCAGTGAGACACACTCCCATTGATGAATTGTGATGACATATAAACTAAATGAATCACACAGGAAAAATTACACTACATAACTAAACAGTGGCAGCCAAAGTACACTTTGACTTTACTAATAAGCCAATGGATAAGGATAAAAAGTGAACATTTTTGTTGATTTTGATGGCAGTATATTTTTATTTTCCTTTCCAAAATAGTCATCATATTTTCAAGAAGCCTTCTCTTCTTAGCCCTATAGACACACAATGTGCTTCAGGAGAAAGAGCACTGAGTTTCAAGACAGAGCATTTGAATTAAGACTCTCAGCTCCTCTACATCCTATCTGTGTGACCTTGGACAAGTCACTTCTATCTAGGCCTCAGTTTCTTCATTTGTAAAATTGGGTGGGGGAGTATAATCGATAATTTCTAAAATTTCTTCTAGTTCTAGATCTATGAATCTAAGACTTCACAACATGGACATTACACCAAAGCAGAGTTCCTCTCTTTTCCAATATTGGCAAAGTCTGAGAGTTTCATTCCAACCTATTCAGAAGTGGCATTTGTGGGACTCAATATTCCAGGAACTTGTTCCCACCTTGCCATCATCCAGACTGGTACAGCAAATTAATCTTTGATGAGGGAGAGGAGGATGTGATACTAGGATATGTTTTGTCATGATTTACAATCTTTATTTGGTCAATTTTAGATAGATGATTTGGGAAATATTTTAATATAATTTTACTATGTAACCATTTAAGAAAGATGTGGATTTCAAACCTCCCTACTTCCCTATACCTGGAAAAGTCATAGTGGTAAAGCAGGAATGGTGTGGCATTTAGAGACAGTGCACCTGGTTCTGAATCCTAGTACTGTCACTTAATACTTGAATGGTTTTGGGCAAATCACTTAACCTCTGTCAGCCTTAGTTTTTATATCTCTAAAATTAGGACGTTGGATTAGGAAATAGTTAATTTCCTTCCCAGTTTTAAATATGTTGTCCTATAGTTTTTAAAAGAAAAGATACAGATGATTGAATTTACTGAGTATAATTGGGTGGAGTATGCTGACAGAATATTTGGCAGGTGTAGATTATTCTGTTTGCCTAAAATTGTTTTCTTTTGTTTTTTGGAGGGCTTGGGGGTGGGGAATCAAGTGTCTCATCTTCAACTACTATAGAACTGCATGGTATTGTGCTTATTAATGGCACAGCCAAATATAAATAATTCATGAAGTCATATTTTTAGCAGAAGTATGAAATAGCAGATCATAAATTATTGCCTGAAACCTTTTTCTCTGCAGTGAAGTCTTTAATTTAAGGGAGTGGAGTGTGAAATACCTTTTTCTAGATCACACTTCTTTGATGAAATTTTATGAATACAAACTGCTTTCAAAATGTGCCTATTCCAAATAATGTTTTAATTGTGTTCTATGTTATGAATGAATAAATATAAAAATTTATTCATTCAAAGTCTTGTCTTTAATGTTTATAAGTTAAATTTGAGGAAAATAATTACATTGGAATGGAAGAATAAAAAAAAAAACTCAATATCCATCTCATTGTGCAAATGACCAAGACAGTGATACCTTTGAATTCAAATTATTCTGTCCATATATATTCCCTTTTAAATTTATGTTGAAAACAGAAAAGTAATAGGTACATAAAATATATTCCCTTCTGAAATAAAAATCAATATACTGGGCATGTATTTGTTGTTAAGATGAAGAGGAAAATGTCATTATAATACACATTGTGGTTTGTAGAGCTTTTGGTACTGAAAGTATATAGGAATGAAACGAAAACAATCATCCTGAAATAACACCAGGTGAAAGTCTCAGGATTTTATTTTGATCTTTTGAATTTATATGAGTATATGTTGATCTCTTCTATTAAAGTCCCAGGAAGCTCAACCAGCAGGTTTTGAGCCCCACTCACATACAAAATCATATTTATAATAGTAAACAGTACACTTTTTTAAGTTCATTAGTTAAAATAAAATACAACCATGAAACTTAAATATAAACAATTCTATCTAGAAGCAGTCACAGAGCCAAAAGGTATATTTCTCAAAGTTATTTCATATTTGTTTATGAATCTGAAGTTGCTCAAATCTTGTCAAATATTGTAATAAAATTCATAATTATATAGTGCCTTCAGGTTTTCAGTGTTTTGTTCATGGCAACTCTGTGAGATAAGAAATGAAACTACTTATATACCCATTTTGCATAAGTCATAATTTGTCTAGCATGATATAACTAATAAATACCTAAGGTAAGTATCTGAACTTAGGTCTCTGGATTCCCAAATTCTGTTTTACAGGATCATGCTATATTACTTTATCGTCATGAGAGATGTTAATAACTTTGCTTTCTCTAAACAGGTACCAAGAATTGTCCAGGTTCAAAAAACTTTACCTTACAATCTGCTTTAAGATCTTGCCTGTCAACCCAAGGATATATTTAGAATTAGGTTACAGGAAGTCTTCAATTTATAGAATAGAGTGACTATTGAAAAATATATATGCAAAGTTAAGCTTTATAGAGTATTATTTTCCCAACCACAAGTATTATAAATATAATGTATCTCATTGGAAAATATTATCCAGTAGTCTAAGCAGAAACCTTTTCTCTGTGTGTGTGTGTGCGCGCGTGTGTGTGTGTGTGAAAAAAGGAGTTTATATGTGACATGCTCATACTGTAGTATTCCAACCACAATATGACCACTCAGAGTTAGATCCTTAGTATCAAATAGTAACATAATTTTTAAAAGGGGTTGGAGTGGGGAAGGGGGCAATGGGGGTGCTTCATTTGAGGATAGTTCCAGGAATTACTGATTTCTTTTTACCAAGACTTGCCATAAGACTCATCGTATTGGTACTAGTGTTGGTACAAATCTTTGAAGTGTATAACCTTAAGGATTTAGGAAATGTATAATCTTAAGGATTTAGGAACAACCAAGTAGTTCCAAACTCTCAAGGTCTGAAACAGGTAACATTCTTATAGGGTTTACTCAAAATGAGGAACGTCTATAGTATACTCTTGTTTTATCTGAAGAACTAGCAATGGACTCACATTTTTGAGGTATAAAATGCATATTACTCTCAGCTAAGCAAAGGTCAACATAACCAAATTCTTATTTATTTTTTTAAGGCAATTGGGGTTAAGTGACTTGCCCAGGGTCACACAGCTAGTAAGTGTTAAGTGTTTGGTCTGAGGTCAGATTTGAACTCAGGTGCTTCTGACTTCAGGGCCAGTGCTCTATCTACTGCGCCACCTAGCTGCCCCCTAATTTCTTATTTAAATCAATTTGTACCCTGTATATGTTTATTTATTGATTGACCTTGACATGACAGTCCATTTGCTTCTTCTCTCTTTGGGTATGTGGTGCAGGCCTACTAAGATTTAGAACCTAAGATCTTCCCATGACTTTCAGCAAGGCAGGATTAGTCTGTGACTAATTTCTTTTAAAAGTATCATTCCCTTTTTATAAATTAAGGAAACTTGCTCTAGCTCTAAATCTCCAACAATACAAACATATTAGTCTCTTCCATCTCTAGCCTTACTTAACTAGTTTATAAGATTTTGACTCTAAGTAAATTTAAATTTTATGCTGTTAGATTTTTTTCAATAGAAATTCATGAATAGAAATGTCCTTGGAGACCATCTAGATCTCTCCTTTTTATGGATAAGAAAGATAAGCTTCAAAGAGATAAAGTGATTTGCTCACACAAGAAGGAAAGAAAGAACAAAGGAATAAAGGAAAGAAGGAAGGAAGACCTTATTAAATACTTACTATGTCCTGGGCACTGTACTAAGTACTTTAAAAAACATCATTACATATAATTCTCACAACAACTCTCGTAGAGTGGTTCTAATACTGAAACAAAATGAGATTTTGTGACTTGCCCAGGGTCATAAAACTACTAAGTGTCTAAGGCTGGATTTGAACTCAGGTCTTCCTGACTCCAAGCCTAGTGTTTTATTCACTGTATTACCTAGTTACCTCAGCTAGTTAGTACTGGAACTGGGACAAGATCATAAGTCTCCCAACTCAATATTCTTAAATTTACTCTATATATAGTAAATGGTAGATAAAATTATTTTAAAATGGGCTAGTTGTTAAGAAGGAAGTAGGTAATAAGAATATACTATATTTATGTGCATATTTACTACCTGTATTATGATTCATTCTCTATTTCCACATAATCATTCAAATTTAAACATGCAAATGTTGCCCTGTTTCTAATCACTCCAAGAGCAAAGCACACTGCTGAGGTCAAACAGAAAATCCTTAATGCCATATGGAATCATAATTTTTTCCATCCTCTTGCTGCAGCTAAGATTAATGAACAAAGTACAAATAGCTGACATGTAACCTACCCATGGGAGTGCCAACGCCATAACCTTTGGAGTCTATAAGGCCTCCAATCTGTGTCAGGTTACAGTTCCGCTGTGTGACAAACTCAATGGTTGTTGACTCCATTAGGAAGGCATAATCAGAGGTGAGTACACGCTGGATACCTTCTTCATTACTTTTGACAAGCACTGACTGCCTCCTGCTACTCATAAAGGCCCACATTTTGTCATAAGTGGAGATTTTTGATTTCTGCAACAAAAAAAGAAGAAAAGACATTTTTTTCTAATAATATACAAGATTAAAAGTCCTGGTTCATACTTGATATATGAAAGTTGTAACTGGAATTGCTATAAATATAATTGCATTATATAGTTTATGTTTAAATATATACATGTATGTATCAGATATGTATATATACACATATAGTATGAGTGGATATCATTGTATGTAACCTTTTATAAACCACTCTTATCAATGTATCATTTTATTCCCCAAAATTCTATGGTCTAATAAACTTTATATGATATAATCTGATATTATTGCTTAGAAGGTAGCAATAGTAAAATGAGAAATATAAAACAAAATTAGTAGAGTGATATGTATATGTAGTCTTTAAGGCAATACTTCACCTGTTATTCTTAACCTTCACTTTCTGCTTTCTTTAACTTTGGGAGAGAAAATGGGCCCAGAGCAGCACTGTAGGACTTTCTTCAACAAAAGTGGCTCTTACAGCAACTGTCACTTTAACCCCCAAAGAGACAAATACTTCTATGTATATATGAAAGAGGCTAAGGGTATTTGTTCCAAATAAGTGTGAATTTACATCACCACTAAGGTACATTCTACTCATTGTTAAGTGTATTTCCATTTGCCATGTGACAACAGGAAATCTTTCATTTGGGCTTTTTAAATAACTACAACAGTCAGGACAAATAAAACAAAATATTTTTATATTTTACAAACAAAGCTCAAGGATGCTTTATCAGGGTTTCACTGCTGAAGTGGAAGAAGAGGTTATCATCAGAATGCACTGATAAAACATGCATTTGAAAAGATTAGTTCATTTCTACCCACTGAAGGCTGATTTGAAAATTATTATCCTTGACAACATGTCACAGCCATATAACGAAAAAAAACCACACCAGACCTGTATTAATAGGAATGATGATACTGTATTCAAAAGTGCAAGCCTTTATTTTCTCTCATATGAAATTATATGCAATATACTGGTAAGTTAGACATACTTTCATTTTTTGCAAATTTCATTCATAAATATGAAATTGCCATTATATTCACTAAAAGTTAGGAGGAAAATGGTGCTAAAAAGGATGTTGTGATGATAGTATAAAAATTAATGATGTACTATCTCATCAAAAAAATTACATACACAGACAATACTTCTAAAACAAAAGAAGGCTCATAGATATTGTAAATGTAAATATATTCTCCAAAGAAGCACCAAAGCATATAGAAACATAAGGGTTCATAGTTTGAAAGAAGGCAATGAAAGCATCTACACTAAGATGACTACAATGACAGATGTTAACCTACGTGGAGGCATGCCAGCTTCCTCTAGAAAAGAAACAGTCTTACAGATGGAAAAAAATTAAAGGAAATGACTCAGGATATGATGGAATTTAGATCTAAATCATTAAAACAGTTAATAAGAAATGGTCTATATTTATTTATCTACCTGAATAAGTGGAATATTGAGAGACAAAAGCAAAGAATAATTTAACTTCATTTTCAAGGCTAAATAACATATCTGGATTATTTTTCATGCTTCTAGAAAAGTCAAGGATGATATTTAGAATTAAATCCTAGTAGAATGAAGAGACAGTGATACGGGTTGAGAATAGCAATAGAAGGCTTTAGCTGTATTTTATCCATATTGAGGAGGATTTGCAATCAGATTCAAAACACTATCATAAGTGATTGAGATTTTATTTGTCCGTTAAGGTTTGCTTTGTTTTAAATATAGTTACTTACCAGAATTGGTAAGTTGAAACCAGATCATCCAATAAAGAATGGTTTGATATTCAAAGTGGTATTACAGTATTATATATCTACATAATTAATATTGTCATGGAAGGGGGAAATGTAATTTTTGTTACTTGGGTTCAGTACTAATACCCAGAATAAAGATTAAAAGTGGGTGGGACAAAGTATTATTTGAATTATATACATAATTGCCTCTAAACTCTGCTTCCTTTTAGCTGTAAAATTGTGGCCTTCCAGTAATCCTCCTTATATCTTGTAAAAGTCTGTTGTAGTTGTTTTTACTTTTATGACATGCTACATGTCAACACTGGTCATGATTACAGGCAAAAATACTAAGCAATAATCTAAAAAACAGGTATATTTGCTTCAAAGGTAAGATGGCTGGTATCAGTAGAATAAATGGATGGTATGATACTAAATTAAGGACAGAAGACAACACCATCATCAATGGAAAAATCAAATATGTTCCCAAAGAAATGGGATATAAAATGATGACATAGAGAAAGAAAAATGATTTCTCTAAATAAACGAGTGAAAAGAAAAGATCTTCTATCTGTTCATTTGAGATTATGTTTATACATCAACATAACATTTTATCCAAACCAAATTAATTTACTTTAAGTTCAATTCAAAGAAAAATACCATTGGTTGAATGAACTAGGTACCTAACAGAGTAAGCATTTGCTAAGAAAAGGATCATTTAGGAGGTTATCTTTGGAGCAATTTATATTTATAGAATTAACATTATCAGTAGCAAATACAACCATGGAAAATGACTGTGGAACCAGTACGCATAAGAAAGTTAAAGAGAACTATTCATTCTAAATGTCAAGGCATGAATATTCTTAAATTACAGCTAGATAATACCAAAGCACAGTGCAGTAGTAAAATCTTATGGATTATACCCAATATTAAGAAATTTACCACAGTTTTAAGAAAAATATACCAAATCAGGTAGACCATTATGTAGAAAGGTACATCAGTTTGGAATCCATTAAAAAAATAAAAGTAGATGTTTTATTATCTCCTTTTATCATCAAAAACATCTTTCCTGGATGTTGTTTACATATAATCCAAAGAATCTGTATGGGTACTCTTGCCACAGATGTAAATCACACAACTAATCCATGCCTAATCATCCACTGTGACTCTTGAATATATTCATAAATGGTGTCATTATGTAAATATCATAACTATTAGACCAAAGACACAGTAAGCATCAGATTCTTCATTTTTCCTTTGCTTGAGAAGGAAGTTGAATTTGTGTTTGTTTAGGAAAACACGCAGAATGTTCCTGACACTTTGTCATTAAAGGATACCTTTATCAAAGATGCTTATTTCAAATACAATTGAAAACCCATAAACATTAAGGGATGTTTGACACTAGTATCTTTTAAAATGTTATTCCTTTGAAAGAAATCAATATATAGGAGTATCTTTCTCTGCCTTACAAGATTTTAAGTGATATGTGCTGTGTTACTGCCTCTTCACTGGCAAAAGGGAAATACTGAATTTATTTTCATACAAAATCATTGAATGTCTTTCTCACAATAAAAATCTCACCTTCCTCAGATCTCCTTTAGCAATTACAACACTAATTTAAGCACTTCGTCATATAGTGCCTTACTATATTATTCAATTATCCCATGTATGCCCTATTTTCCCAACAAGATTGCAAGCTCCTTGATGATAGAAAATTTTTTAATACTTCTGTACACTTCCCTCTAATTCTACCCCTCCAACACCCAACACCAAGTGATCTTATAATGATTCAGAATTCTTATGTCAAGACCTTTTCTCCACTTTCTACAGAAGCATAAATTTGTAGATTCTCCTAAGTACACTTATTTGGCAAGTTTTCTCAAAGACTTTCCATAAAAAATATTAGTGGGAGTCAGATACCTTCAGTTCAAAAGGAGATCAAAGGAGGGTGAAATGGTCTGGGTATATCTCTTCTAGTCTTTATGACATACAGGAGTATTAGAGAAAAGTGGGAACATGCAGCTTGACACAGTGGAAGAAGCTGTAGTCTGGAACCAAAGGACTTTAGGTTCATATCCCACCTCTTTTGGTTACTACCTATATGATTTTGAGCAAGTCACAATCTCCTTAGATCTCAGTTTCTTCTGCAAAATGAGACGATTGAACAAGATGGCTCTTCCATATCTAGATCCCAAGAGCCTTAAAATACCTTCTTTCCTAAAAATGGGATTGTACTGTAAGGAAGAAATTATGCCCAAGAGCAGATATAGGACCTGGATACTTAACATAGATTATGCTTTCTCTGACTTTGGTCCATATAGAAAGCACCATGGGGACACAGATGGGGAGGTGAATGAAGTATATAGGTAATGACAAATTCCCCTAACAAAGTAAAATTCAAAGCCAGAATTCAAGGATCTGTGATTTTGTCAGTTTGTGATACTCCCTCAGCCTTCACAGATCATAATCGTGCCACAATTTAGACATAATATTTTAAGAGTTGTTATGTCCAAAGGGTTCACACTGTGGCTGAGATGGACCTTTCCAAAGTTTGGTTGGCAGGTCCTTGGACAACAGACATACAGTAGGTCACAGGTCCATAGTTCTGAAGCTTGGTAGGACTCTCATGAATCCTGGATCACTACAATAATGGCACTAAAGTAAAACTTCAGTGGAAACTGTATAAATTTCCATTACTGAAAGCCAGTTACATGCTGACAGAAGACACTGAACAAAGTTCTATTTATCTGAATGTTCTAATGCATGCTAAATATTTATGTACAGTATGTGTGTATATAGATAGATAGACAGTTGTGACTATCTTTTCAAACATTTCAAGATTTTTTTAACTATGATGACTATTTGGCCTGATTGCTAGAATACATCCTCACCCCAGATCCCAAGAAGTATATTAGAGGTGCTAGAGAAGCAATGTGGAATCAGAAGACCTAGATTTAAATCTGAACGTGTTACTTTGTTGCATGTTGATCAGTAGTTTTTCAATTGCGCCCAACTCTTTGTGACCTCATTTGAGGTTTTGTTGGCAAAGATACTGGAATGATTTGCCATTTCCTTCTCTAGCTAGTTCATTTACAGATAAGGAAATTGAGACAAACAGGATTAAGTGACTTGCTCAGGGTCGCACAGCTAGTAAGTATCTGAAGTCGGATTTGAACTTTGGAAAACGAGTCTTCTTGACCCCAGTCCTATCCACTGCACAGCTTAGCTGCCCTAAGCTTGCTCTTAATGCCTGTGCAAATGGAGGA